CCCCAAAACCCCAAAACCCCAAAACCCCAAAACCCCAAAACCCCAAAACCCCAATGCTGAATATAGATATTGAAGAATGAAACTAGAGTTAAAATTTTAAAACGAAGCATGATTTAAAATGCCACGTCACTGATTGTATTTTAGTACCTTCCATTAATCATTTCCCTAAGAACCCGAATTCAAGTCTATATTGTTAGGGTATAATGTTACCCCAATGGCGCATCGTCAACTGTAGACTGGAGGCATCTGGGTTCTGGTGCGTCTTCTGGTTCTCCTCTGTCTATTTCTTATCGGTGGTATTGGTCTAGGTTCTAGAATCAATAAAGGTAACACCTTCTACTTGGAGTTTGTAATAGTAGACATAAAAAGTGATCGATATCTGTCCTTTTAGACGAATCTGGGAAATAGCTTACGCTCTATTGAATCAACCTGCTGAGACTCTTGTTCAGCTAAGCCTGATGTTTCTGTGATTGAGGTATAAATCTGATTATATCTATCAAGCATTCTTGAGATGGAGTCATCTCAGTTGAAGCAGAGGTCTATGTCAGGCCTATATCCAAGGTAACTCTGATCTAATCAAATTTAAGAGCTTTATAAAGCAATATCTTTTCAGATTTTCTGCTGAAGTCTCTCTATTTTTAATATTTTCTCATCAAATTTTGAAGATACTTTACAAAATTAGGTGAACTAGGGGATATTTATTTTAAATCAAGAGACATCCCGCTATTTCAGCATTAAAGAATGAAGTTCAGAACTCGGGACATCAAGGAGCTGGACCAAATCAAAACCAATAATATTCCTCCAAAATGTAGGCATAACTAAACTTACTCTGGAGTTGTGCAGTTGTGAGGCTTATTTTCAATTTCACCATTATCAACTCTATAAGTAAGTTAAACCAGTCATGATTTTGGCCGATTAGCAACAATGCTATTCTAAATAACATGAGTTACTTTATTCCAGGTCTCTTTGCATATGTGTCAGCTGCCTTTTTGAATGAGGATGAGTAATAATCCATGTGAATAATTTCTATTATGATTCAACCTTACTCAAATTTAAAGGGGTTTTGGGGTTTTGGGGTTTTGGGGTTTTGGGG